TTACTACTTTCCACCAACACACAATAGGCATAAGTCACCAAAGAAACCTCATCAGCCAAGCAGATCAGGATGCAGATAATCAACCCCCTCCCCCAACCACCACATCTTTCTTTGGTCATCAAAGCAATAAAGGCAATCTATGAATCTACCATCATCTCTGTGTGTCTTAACTGGAACTTATCTGAACTGGCACCTCACCAAACAACAGCTCCCATGATTCCATAACACTGAGCCATGGCGGTTAAAGTGTTGTTAGACTGCATTAATTCTACAGTGTAGATACACCATCAGTGTGTGGTGGCAATTTCCAAAACATGGTGCCTGAGTTAAACTGGTAGGCTGATGCTTCACTATGCAGGAACCATGGTTTAGCATGATGAATGAGTTACTTTGACAGCCTGCAGCCAGATTAAATTTGAAAAACTCAGACAGGATGCCATTCAAGAAATGGCAAGGTGAAGAAAAGGGTATTTTTGGTACTTCTAGTTTTCAAGAAATAAGAAATTATGTTCTTTGTTATTTGACTGAACAAGTTTTTTCATGTTAAAAGAAACTGTAGTGGGACAGTCATCCTCTCAGAGTTTGTTTAAAAACATTACACAAAGTATCGAGTGTTAGACACAAGAGCATTATTAAGTTTCACCAGATTGCTTTAAGCTTTTCTTTGTACTCTTTTGTGGTAGACTTTGTACCACCTGCATGGTGAAGTATTCCACGTCACATTTCACCACATAATAATATTTGGTAAGATGGTAGGTAGAGTTAAAGTAGTTTCCATTTTTTTGTGGATGCATCTGCATTGTAGAATTAATGCAGTTTTACACCACTTTAACTGCCATGGTTCAGTGCTATAGTATCACTGGGGTTATAGTTTTACACATTCTTTAGCCTTCTCTTTGAAACAGTACTGGTGCCACACCAAACTACAAATCTCAGGATTGCACTGCTTGGAACCATGGCAATTAAAGAGGCTCAAGATATTCTATATACCTTGGATAAGTCATAAAGAAAAATTGAGACTAAAGTCAAGAAATCAAAAGACTGGGGGTGGATATAGAATGAAGTATAAATGCATCCTTGATCACAACACATAAACTAACCCTTAAATATTTATAGTAAATTTGTAAACTTTTTAAAATGTGTTGAAGTTATAAAAATTACACTCCAAAAGATATCTGTTCAGAAATAAGCTACACTGAAATTCAATGAGACTTATGTTCACATGTGTATATACAGGTTGAACATCCCTAATATGGAATTCTGAAATACTCCAAAACTAAAAAATTGTCCACATGAGTGGCTGAGATAGTACTACTTTGCTTTTTGATAGTTCAGTGCACAAAAAACTTTGTTCCATGCACAAACTTTTAAAAACTATGGTATAAAATTACTTTCAGGCTATGTGCATAAGGTATATAAAACACGCATAATGGAAAAACAGATATTCCAAACGAAACCCCTAAACAACACCAAAATACCAAATACTTCTCGTTTCCTGTATTTCAGATAAGAGATATTTAACTTGGATGCATGTAGGATTGCAGTCTCTTTGTAGTTCTAATAAAGAGCTTCTTTCTGGAGGATTCATTTCATTTTCAATGCGTAGACTGCCCCCATATGGAAACAACTGCAGAATCATGCTAGGGTAGGGTTTTTATTAAACCATTAAAAACATAACATTCAGTAGACAAACCAAAACACATGCAACTGACATTTAACTCTGGTCAGCAAGGAGTTTACAAGACAGCTACACCCAGGAAGGACTCAAAGGCCATTTCTTATCTCAGCAAATGCAAGCACAAACAAGCAAATCCCACTGCTGCTGAAGTTCACAATTTACACACACACACACACAGGCACAACTCTCTCCCTTTTTTTAGGGAGAGAGTTGGAGCCCCCGGTGGCGCAGTGGGTTAAAGCCCTGTGCCGGCAGGACTGAAGGTCAGTGGTTCGAATCCGGGGAGAGGCGGATAAGCTCCCTCTATCAGCTCCAGCTCCTCATGCGGGGACATGAGAGAAGCCTCCCACAAGGATGATAAAACATCAAATCATCCGGGCGTCCCCTGGGCAACGTCCTTGCAGACAGCCAATTCCCTCACAACAGGAGTGACTTGCAGTTTCTCAGGTCGCTCCTGACACGACCAAAAAAAAAAAAAAAAAGAAAAAAGGAGAGAGTTGTGCCCACAAAATGGGACAGATCTGGCCTCAGTGTCCCCAGATATTCACACCATGGCTCTTGAAATGATAATCAATTCTTACTGATCCCAAATAGTTATATTTGGCTTTTTTGTGAGTAATAACAGCTACAATTATTTCACTGATAAAGAACATAAACCAACAACATAGAGGAAACCAGTAGCAATTCTGTGTGCTATGGTTGGTGCCAGTTCACTGTAGCAGACTCACAGGGGCACCAATGGGTAAATATCTTAATCAAGGGCTTCGTAACTTTGACTTGGGACCCCTTTTGGCCTGAGAAAATTTTATGTGACCCCAGATATCTATCTATACACATAAAAAAGTGAAAATATGTATGTTTATGTGTGGCAGGGGTGTCCACTTGCACAGACAAGCTCCTGCCTCCATAAATGGCTATAACTTCCACCATGCATGAGACACCAATGGCCCTCCCTCCAATAACATTGCAAGTTATAGTGAGTGCCATGAACATTTACAAGGGGCCTGCCAATGTTCTCCACAAACACCATACTGCCCACCACCAAGTGAATGCTTTCATAAAGGGAAAATCTCTTCCTAGATTTTGTTTTCCCTCCACCATAGACATCTCATTGTTTCTGACTCTCTCTAATGGTGTGGAATTTGCATGATCCCACCCACTGCCTTTCTTACTCTTCTCTATGGCACACAGCAAACAGGGAGAAACTGATCAGAAACTGAACATACTGGAAAGGTTTGAGGGATTGACACAACATGATGGAAGTTGTCCAGGGTGAACTACAACTTCCATAATGTTGAGTCAATCCCCCAAACCTTTCCAGTATGTTCAGTTTCTGATCAGTTTCACCCTGTTTGCTGTGTGCCATAGAGAAGAGTAAGAAACCCTGCTGGGCACAAACGGCCTTGATAAGCCAGAGGTTTGCTGGACCCTACCCTGCCTATTGACATCAGCACTTCCCTTGTACATGGTGGGTTGGGAAGAAGGGTTCCTACTGATAAGAACTGGGCAGAGTGTGGTTGCAGGGTGGAGACATGGAGCATGGTGGGAAATTGTCTGATTAACACCCAAAAGACGGCACAGCATTGTGAAATATAAAAGCCAGTGTATTGTCATTGCTTGGGGTTCCTCAATTTTGGTGGCATCACTGGAACACCAGTTCTCTTTATTTTTTCTACCTTTTCTGAGTTTTTCAGAACATAACTTTCTGAGAGCAAGAAATGCCTGGTTATTTTGCTGGCTGTGTCTCTGAAGCTGCTTCTTTTAAGAGATTGGAGAGTTTAGTTGTATTGATCTGCATTATATAGATCTACAATGTCTATAATGCAGTCCCATAGAATGGGGTTTAGCTGCATCGAACTGCATTATATGGATCTACACTTATATAATGCCTTATATAACTGAGTTTAATTGCATCAGACTGCATTACACAGGTCTACACTGACTATATAATATAGTTCCATAGAATGGGATTTAGCTGCATCGAACTGCGTTATATGGGTCTACGCTTATATAATGCCACACAATAATGGAGTTAAACTGCATCAAACTGCATTACACAGATCTACATTGACTATACTGTATAATATAGTCCCATATAATGGAGTTTAATTGCATCAAACTGCATTACACAGGTCTACACTGACTATATAATGTAGTTCCATAGAAGGGGTTTGGCTGCATCGAACTGTGTTATATGGGTCTACGCCAGTGGTTCTCAACCTGGGGTCCCCAGATGTTTTTTTAGCCTTTAACTCCCAGAAATCCTAACAGCTGGTAAACTGGCTGGGATTTCTAGGAATTGTAGGCCAAAAACATCTGGGGACTCATAGAGCAGTGGTCCTCACCCTGTGGGTCCTCAGATGTTTTGGACTTTAACTCCCAGAAATCCTAAAGCTGGTAAACTGGCTGGAATTTCTGGGAGTTGTAGGCCAAAACACCTGGGGACCCACAGGTTGAGAACCACTGGTCTATGCTTATATAATGCCACATAATAATGGAGTTTAACTGCATCAAACAGGTCTACACTGACTATACAATAGAATAGACCATAGAATGGACTTTAGCTGCATTGAACTGCATTATATGGGTCTACTTACATAATGTCCCATATAATGGAATTTAACTGCATTGAATTGCATTATATGGGTCTACACTGACCAGGCCCGTAGCCAGGATTTTGATGGGGGGGGGGGGTGCTGAGTTTGAGGGGGGGAGTTTAATTTAAGGGGGGGGGGGGCTGAGGATCTACCCGTGCAAACCTTTTGTATTGTTACCCCAATACCCCCATGCATATAGGATATATTGGGCATGGTGGTCAGATTATGATATGAATAAACATAACAGTTTAAATAATATACCAGTAAGGCCTTCTCGCGGACCACCATGAGAATTTGGGGGGGGGGGCTGAAGCCCCCAACCCCCCCCTTGGTTACATAGCACTGACTATATAAAGTAGCACTGACTATATAAAGTAGTCCCATATAATGGAGTTTAGCTGCATAGAAGTACAGTATATTACATGGGTCTCATATAATGTCCCACATAATTGAATTGAACTGCATTCTATGGGTCTACGCTATTTATATTGTATGGCAGTTTATATATGAATGCTGAACACTGGCCAGGGGCTAATCTTGGCTCCTGTTTCTGCCTGAGGAGTGGCCCAGTTTGTGTTTCCTCTCAGTCCTCCACTAGAACTCCCATCCCTCCTGCTAGCTGGAGTCTCTGGGAGTCCCAAACCCCCCCGCCCCCCTCTTTGCGTTGCATCCAGGGCACGAGATAGGGAGGAACCTCTTGGAATGGAAACCGAAAGCAAAGGAGGCAGCTGGCCTTGCCTTCCTCCGCCTCCTCCCGCTTTTTCCCTCCCACCTGGTGGTTTCTTGGAAAAGAGCTGCAGCTCGTTGCTTTCTCTTTCCTGCTTGGCGTCCCCAGGACTTTCCTCCGGAGCCCAGCTGCGACTTCATCAACTGCAAGCACTCTTTGTAAGTCTGGGTGGTGGCTTCTCTTTCCTAGGAGCAGGCTAGATGTTTATAAAGAAGGCAAAGAGTGTTGGGGTTCCCCTTTCCTGTTAGGAGATACTGATTGTGCCATCTTTTCTGTCTTGAGAGCAGGAAGCTCCCAGGCATAAAAGAACAGCAACAACAACAACAAAATAACAAAATTGTTGCATAAATTGGATATTGTTTTTGCTGGCTTATAATGTCTTTTATACCTGCTTGGGGATTGCTCTGCACTTCCTGAGACTTTTAGTTTTGGTTATAGTTTACTAAGCTTCTGGTGAATCAGTGAATATAACAAATCATCCTTGATGTTGATGCTACTTGTTGGAGCAAAGTCTGTGAGGACCAGGAGAAACAAACTCAAATGGCTTTGGTAAAACAACCCTGAGTTCCTTTTCACAATATGCAATTATAGTGTTAACCATTCCACTTCAACTACCCTGGTTCCATACTATGGGATCCTGGGATTTGCAGTTTAGGGAAGGGCCAAAGATCTCTTTTGATTGTGTATCCCTTATTCCAAAATCCTCCAAATCCCAAAATTGTCCACCTGGGCGGCTGAGATAGTGACACCTTTTATGACAGCAGATTGAGGCAACACCATAAGATTGATTTATCTTTGCATAGTGGGCTCCATGGGTTATAACAACAACAACAACTTTGTATTGTCAAAGGCTTTCATGGCCGGAGTCACTGGGTTGTTGTAGGTTTTTTCGGGCTATATGGTCATGCTCTAGAGGCATTCTCTCCTGACGTTTTGCCTGCATCTGTGGCAGGCATCCTCAGTGGTAGTGAGGTATGTTGGAACTAGGAAAAAGGGTTTATATATCTGTGGAATGACCAGGGTGGGACAAAGGACTCTTGTCTGCTGGAGCTAGGTGTGAATGTTTCAACTGATCACCTTGATTAGCATTTGATGGCCTAGCAGTGCCTGGGGCAATCTTTTGTTGAGAGGTGATTAGGTGTCCCTGATTGTTTCCTCTCTGCTGTTTTGCTGTTGTAATTTTAGAGTTTTTTGATACTGGTAGCCAGATTTTGTTCATTTTCATGGCTTCCTCTTTTCTGTTGAAATTGTGTATAACTTTATTTTTATACACCGCCAACCATCTCCTCTAGGGGACTCGGGGCGGCTTACAAGGGACACGCCCAAGATTACAATTAAAACACACATGTAAAACACTTTAACCAATTAAAACATCAGATAAAACAAATAACACAATAGAAGGCAATATAAAAACAATACGGCTGAAAGAAATATAGTCAAAAGCACACTGGAACATCCAGGTTTTTAGTTGACTATGAAAGGAGGACAAGGTGGGAGCCTGTCTGATCTCCCTAGGGAGGGAGTTCCAGAGCCGGGGGGCCACCACTGAGAAGGCTCTCTTCCTCGTCTCCACCAAACGTGCATGTGACAACGGGGGGAGAGAGAGCAGTGCCTCCACAGAAGATCTCAAGGTATGCACTGGTTCGTAGGGGAAGATGCGATCGCGAAGATAAGCAGGTCCCAAACCGTTTAGGGCTGTTATGATGGTTTTTTCCCCAGAGAAGAGACAATTCAGTTTAGGTTTAGACATTAGAATAAACACATATTGGCAAAAAGGCCCTTGATACAACCATTAGAAGAATAACACTGTGATATTTGTGTATGTCTAACTGTGCTCTGTAGAATATGGAGAAAAGTGACATTCAAGGGACACTTGTAAGCAAAATGGAACCTCTTAAAGAACCAGCACAATTCAAGGTAAGTTCTGTCAAATACTTCTACAGTTTCCCATTGGAACAGTCAGTGTTGTGCATGATAGATACTATTTATGTATTTCTAACTTTATTTGGCAGAGCGCAGAGGAAACTGAAACTCCAGAAGCAGTTATGAAAAAGACAGGAAATCTTTCAGAATTGGAAACGTTGATGGCAAATGCTGTAAGTAGTACTCATGTAACTCTAAACAAATTCAAAGCTTTCTACCTTAATTTTTATATTTCATCCTGAACAGGGAATTTACTGGGCTTTATGTTTTACTACTTCGTGTGGGGAAAGAGTCACCACATCCTTTTTTTGAAAGTATGAAAAAGATGAGTTGTGCTGCCCCAAGGAATATTTTTTTTAATTTTCCTTTTAATTTCTGTGTGTAGAGCATTGAAGAACACAAGACTTCAGATGTACTTACAAATGAAACTGGAAAACAGAGAGAATTAGAAAAATTGAAGGTGAGCACAGAAGATGTGGAGGATAAACTCTGTGCATCTGTATATGGCTTTTTGAAAAGTCTGTCAGCAGTGTTTTGTCTGAAGCATTGAGATGTCTGCCATGGAATACTAGTTGTGAAGTGATTTATAATTTCCAAGTTATGACCTCCCTGAACAGCTGCAAGCTGAATAACACGTGTCCCAGAAGCAAGCAAAATACAGCAGAGTCCTTTTACAGCAATAGCATATTTCAACCAGTCTGACAGTAGAGTCCCAACTGCCAGCATCTACACACTACACACCTCTACACACTGTTTAGTAAACTTGTGGATTCAGGGTTTCATTCAAAATATCTGGAGCCCCCGGTGGCGCAGTGGGTTAAACCCCTGTGCCGGCAGGACTGAAGACCGACAGGTTGCAGGTTCGAATCCGGGGAGAGGCGGATGAGCTCCCTCTATCTGCTCCAGCTCCTCATGCGGGGACATGAGAGAAGCCTCCCACAAGGATGATAAAACATCAAATCATCTGGGCGTCCCCTGGGCAACGTCTTTGCAGACGGCCAATTCTCTCACACCAGAAGCAATTTGCAGTTTCTCAGGTTGCTCCTGACATGACAAAAATAAAATTCAGAATATCAGGTGGCTTTAATTTTCATAGTTGCAATACATACAAATATGCAATCAGGATATGCAGATCCACTTTCCATGTACTTGCAAACAATCAGGGTCATCAAATACAGAACAGGCAGATACTCACGACCGAGTTACACAAGAGAAAAAAAGATGGATTCCTTCATCCTCCTTATATTGCCACCTGCTGATCAGTAAGGGACAGTGCCTGATGCAACCCCTTTGCAATAACCCTCACAGCCATTACCACACCTCCTTAGGTATTGCATTGTGACATTCACTGTCATTGCCTAGGTGTTATCAATATATCACATGTTCATCCAACAGTGTTTTTCTTTGACTAGAAATGCCGTGCCATTTCTATCTAACAATACCACCTATCTATTTTCTATTCCTAAGGAGAATGTTGCAACAGCTGAAAATCTGAAGTCCAACATACTACTTTTAAAACTTGGTGCTGATGAAAGGAGGAGAAATTATCTAGATAAGCTGAGAGAACTAAGGGATCGGGAAAATAAGATAGCTCTGGAAATAATGAAAGCCCAAGAGGAAGCTCGGGTAATTAATAAATGTATCCATATGCCACTATTTCTTTTAAAAGCACAAAAGAATTGATGTAGGGAAATGTAAATGTTTGCAGAGTGGAATTGAGCTGCAAATCTGCAATATCTTTTAAAAATTCTGTTCCTTAACATTAGTAGTTGTAGTTAGACAATTTATTCTCTTTTATTTTCTGCCATATGCTGCATTAAGAATAGTTTTGAAGGCTCAGATTTTACTCATAGAAATGCAGGTTAATATAAGAAGTTCCTTTATATTGAGTCAGACCAAGATAATCAGCTCTCACTAACAGCAACTTTCCAGGATTTTAGAGGTTTCATACTTTGAGATCCCTTGTCTACCTAGTGGTCTGTCTAATTATGTTCATCTTCCAAAACCAAAAAGGATTAGAATTCTGCGAAACTTTTTGAGTAAGGTACAGGCATTTTCTTTACAAATTTAGAACATTTTGATAAAGGACAAAAATCTAGAAACAGTTAACCACAAATATGGTGGTCAGATATAATGCCCAGTATATATAGGATGTTGATAGTGCTTTTGTGTTGCAGTGGCTCCATGTATGAGCTATAAAAAATGAGAAAGAACTAATATGTTCTGTAACTTAGCGATAAAGTAGTACACACTGGGTTATGTAAACGTAACCCGGGCTTTTCAGTTCTGAGACCTATCAGGAAGTTAGTTTGTAAGATGACTTTGTTTTGGAGTGGGAGTTTTGCTCTAAATTAAGCTGAGGGGGTTGGTGGCTACAGGAAATCAGTCAAAAGATATGAAGCAAATGTTTGTCTCGAAAGTTTCTTAGTACAGTGGCATCTCTACTTAAAAGCATCCCAACTTAAGAGCATTTTGAGTTAAGAGCTTTTGCTTGGCCCAGGTTTTGCTGATACATAAGAACAGTGTTTTGAGTTAAGAGGTAGCAGCAGAGGGAGTGCTAGCACCAGAGTTTTAGGGCTTTAAGAGCCGCCGCAAACTAGCCTCCTGCGGGAGCAAACTGTGCGAGCACGTCCCTGACGTCATGAGACTGCGCCTCTCTCTCCGCCCCTTTCTCCGCCTCTTTCTCCGTGCCAGAGTGGTTTTTCCTTTGCTAGGGCAGCATTGCCAGCGTTCTCTCGTTGTTGAATTCTGCCAACAACGAGAGTATGCTGGCAATGCTGCCCTAGCAAAGGAAAAAACACTCTGGCACGGAGAAAGAGGCAGAGAAAGGGGCGGGGAGAGAGGCGGAGTCTCATGACGTCAGGGACGTGCTCGCACAGTTTGCTCCCGCAGGAGGCTAGTTTGCGACGGGTTTAAGGGAGCAGCCTCCATGCCTCGCATCTTGTCTGCTTTGGAAGATTGTTGTCTGCTTTACTCTTGTCTGCTTTGGAAGATTGCGGCAACTTTGCTTTTGTCCGGTTTGAGGAACTTTGGGTTAGTGCACAAAAACTAACCCAACATCAGACATGTATGTTGTTTCCCTTGAATGTTTTAAAGCACACCTGCTTTAAAAATGTATGCTTTCTGTCTTATTTCACAGGTGCAACTTTCTGAGATAAATGAAAAAAACGATCAGTTGAAAAAGGAGATTCAGGCCCTTAAAGCCAAACGTGAAGCAAAAATTGCTAAGTGTGAAGAATTTGCACAGAGATTTCGGGTAATCTTTTGATCTATGAACCATGAAAATGATATAACTTTATTCATCATGATAAGATGGTGCAAATTTTGGTGAGATTATGATGGAACTTAGTTGCTTGAAGCAAAAGAATTTAACTGCATGTTGATCTGCTGCATAAGACATCCACTAAATTAATGAGATATTAAAATTTCCTGAATAACTGGGCAAAATTTACCACCTTTGGACTATAAAGCAATTGATTCACACCACCCTTTTCCTGTATATTTGAAGCTTACTGCAATTTTAATTCTTCATTTCAGTTAGTAGAGCAGATGTACATTTATGCAATTTTAAGGGTATATAATTCTCATTGAAATCCTGCACTGCATGACTGAGAAACAGGGATACTCTGTTGATAGCAAAACAACAACAACTGAATTTCCATTTGACAGTTGTGATGTTGGGAAACCAAATTGTCATTTGAGTTAATGAATGAAATCAAAAGATAGAGTAACCCCAGCGGAATTAATACCAGCCTAACATTGGGAATTACTCCCAACTTTTTAGCAATGGTAGTGTGGCCAGTGAATATAAGAGGAATATACTGGCCTGTGTCATGTAGCATCCAGTTTCCTGCTTTGGTCAGAAAAATATCCAAGGGAAGCTAACAGTAAGTGCATGACGGGTAGTAATTATCTCACTCTGTACCTAATCCAGCCTTGTGTCATTTTTATAGGCTTCTAGAAATTCATGATTTACTGAATGTTGGATCTGAATGTGAGAAATCTATGTTTAATCCTGACTCCGTTGTAAAGCTCAGCAACAGTCCAATCAGTGTACTTGAGAAAAGCACCATCTTAACTTTTCACAATTGTTGCCAGATTAAAATGTACTCTGAGCAACTTGATAGAAAAAAATGGGAAATAGCTTCTAAATGACACTATAGAAAAGATTGATGAAACTAGTACTCTGTACATGTTACATGGTATACTTAAATCTACATTGTGATGTATGAAGAAATAAATCCCAAGTGAACAGATGCTTCAATTTCATCAAGTTGAGCCCCTAACTGTTCCCATGCTCAATTTCTCTGGGATTCTAGTCGAGGGGAATTTTTCACACTCCTCTTTTGTAAAACTGTAACTGTTTTTGTTTTTTTGCAAAAAAAAATATAAAATGAGAATGCTCCTTGTAATTTACACATTGTATTTAAAATAATTCTGTTTCCACTTGAAAATCTTATTGTCACTAAAATCCTGCTGTGACACAATAAAAACTAGCAAATTTATTATGGAATTAAACCCTCCGCCCCAGTTCAGCAGATACAAAAAATGATTGTAGGTGGCAGATGTATTTTATGAAGTGCAGTAAGGGGAGGGGGCTGGTTCACAAAATTTTATCCCATGGTTTTGCAGTTCTTGTGTCGTCATTCTTTGTACAATTACATCTGCACCCTCAATAATAGGTGAGCCTTAGTGCTGTATAATGTGATATATTATGCTTGCAGTCACTTTAGCCCATTCTTTTTCTTGGGGCAGTTCCACACAGGGCTTTAAATTGGATCCATTGGGTTTAAAAAAAAAACTCAATTGGGCCTGCATTACAGCCCACACATGCCCCAGAAAGCACATGCTTTTCTGAGGGGTGTGTGTGCAGATGCCTTGCTGGACCTTCCGACAGGGCACCCAGACACAAAAGAACCTCCTTCCCCCACCAGAAAAGCCTTTAAAAGAAAAAAATAACTTACCTGGCTGGCATTTCCCTGCTGCCAGCCCTCTCCTGGCACATAGAAATGATGCATCAGGAGAGGGGGGCAGGAGTGATTTTCCTCCCCTTCTCCTGGTGTGTCATTTCTACGTGCCAGGAGAGGGCAGCAGCAGGAAATGCCGGCCAGGTAAGTTATTTTTTTTCTTTTAAACTCTTTTTAAAGGGGTTTTGGGAGGGCATGGGGGCTGTCTTGGGTTTTTCGGACGCCAGGAGCCCCAAAATCCCGAGAAAGCTGTGTAGATTGGGACTGGAAGTCATGTGATGCTATCACTAACCTCAATCCACACAGCACCCACAGCTTTGTGCCAAATTACTTTGGCACAAAGCAGAGTTTTCCTGGTTTGTGCCGAAGGAATTTATTTATTTATTTATTTATTTATTTATTTATTTACATCACTTATATCTCGCCCATATCAGCCCGCAGGCGACTGAGGGCGGTCTACATATTGGCACAATTCGATGCCATCAATACAATACAAAGGCAATAACAATTAAGTGCATTTAGACAAAAAAGAGTGCAATAACAATTTAAAAAGAGCTATATCCTCTCATTCCAATCCTCATCCGTTTCATCGTCTTGGTCGTTCCTGGGTCATTCTCCATCTCAAGCTTGACTATCTATTCCGGGGTTCCGAATGCTTGCTCGAAGAGCCGGTTTTTACTCTCTTCCGAAAAGTCAGGAGGGAGGGGGCTGATCTAATATCCCTAGGCAGGGAGTGCCACAGCCGAGGGGCCACCACAGAGAAGGCCCTGTCCCTCGTCCCTGCCAAGTGTGCTTGCGAAGCCGACGAGCTCGAGAGCAGGGCCTCCTCAGATGATCTTAACTTCCTAGAGGGTTCGTAGGAAGAGATGCGTTCGGATAGGTAGGCTGGGCCGGAACCGTTTAGGGCTTTATAGGCTAAAGCCAGCACTTTGAATTGGGCCCGGTAGAAAACTGGCAGTCAGTGGAGCTGATGCAGCAGAGGAGTTGTGTGCTCCCTGAGCACCGCTCCTGTTAGCAACCTGGCTGCCGCACGCTGGACCATTTGAAGCTTCCGGGTCGTCTTCAAAGGCAACCCCACGTAGAGAATTCGTTTTTACCTGAGGTGTCTCCTCACATAAAAATTCAGGAGATTGCCCATTTGGCTGGATGCGCCTTAGGCAAACATTTGCTGACATACTGAATCATATGAGCTCTAAGGCCTAAGAACAGACAGGTAGAACCTTTGGGGCCTATATGTGATTGTCAGCTAACATTTTCCTCTTCATTTTGGTTTTTTTAAATATAGGTGAGAAAGGACATACCAGAGAAAAAAATGAAGTGTACACATCTGGAGACTATCAAAAACAAAGATGATGAGATGAACAATAACATATCCTGCCTTTTTCATATATCTCCAAAAATCCCATTCAGGCTGAGCCAACAAGAAGCTGTCATCACATTTGAACAAGAAAGTGGTATGGGGTGTTCACACATATGAGTGCCCATTTTTAAGCAAGAAGGTTTGGATTTAATCAGGTAGCTGCTTTCTTCTGGCAGGAACGGCCTAGGGCTAATTCATAGTTTGAAAGTCGGCAACTTCGTTGTGAATTTATGTTAATCAGGGGGTATAGACCAAGACAGCCCTGTCTCAAATAGTTCTATGATTCTTGCTAAATATCGTAAATAACTTACAAATGGTCTAAATACTTACAAATGGTCTAAATACCCTAAAAGCTAAGCTAAACAGGAGCAGCCCTGTTTAGTACTTGGATGAGAGATTTCCAACATTTCTGAAGAAAACCCGAGAAATTAATAGGATTGTCTTCAGGGAATTCAAAATTTATTCAGCCAAAAGGGCACTGTAAGGTAAAGTTAATCTGATGTTTTGGATGAGTGGCTATATCAACATTTGCAGCTCTGAAAGGGAAACACTTCATACTGCTTTAGAAAATACATTTGTAATTTAGGGTCATTTGGTTCTTTCTAGTATTATCCCAAATCTTGGGATATTAACTTTGTCAAAAACTTTGATTATTCGAACATTTGACCTAATGCAGTGGTTCCAAACTTTTGGCCCTTCAGATGTTTTGGACTTCAACTCCCAGAAATCCCAGCCAGCTTACCAGCTCTTAGGAATCATGGGAGGTGTCAAGAACCAGGAACATATATACATATGTGGTGGTAATGTAAATATGTAAATAATTTTTGGGAGAAAGTATTTAGAGAAATAGAAGTTATAATGAATATGAAAATCGAGAAAAGTCCTAGTATAACTTTATTATCAGACCAAGCGTGATCCCTGGGGAAGGCAATGGCAAACCACTCCAGTATCCTTGCCAAGAAAACTAAATG